CCCAGGAATGTAGAAAAATTGGCAACACTGTTGGTTTTATCTTGCATTTGCTGTTGTGTGTGGGAAAGAAGGGCCAGGTCGTCAGCAAAGTCCCGGTCATTCAGCTGGCTCCACCGTCTCCACTGTATACCGTTTCGCGTTTTCTCTGTTGACATTTTCATAATCCAGTCTATGGCCAGCAGGAGCAGCAATAGTGAAAGTAGGCAACCCTATCTTACTCCGGTCCGTACTGGGAAGGCCTCTGAAGTCTGTTGGCCATGCTCTACTCTACATTTCGGACCTTCATTTGAAGACATAATAATGTTGACTATTTTCTGTGGCACCCCGTAGTGTCTCAACAATTTCCACATTGACTGTCTATCCAGGCTATCAAAGGCCTTCTCGTAATCTATTAAATAAATGTAGAGAGATGAGTTCCACTCTTGGGTCTGTTCAATGATGATGCGCATGGTAGCAAATTGGTCTAAGCATGACCTTTCCTTCCTGAAGCCCGCCTGTTGATCTTGAAGCTGGGGATCTATCGCTTCCTTCATTCAGTTTAATAATATTCTGTTGAAGACTTTGCCTGGGATGGACAAAAGTGTTATCCCTCTATAGTTTGAGCATGCACTAAGATCGCCTTTCTTTGGAAGTTTTATGAATAGTCCCTCCTTCCACTCCTCTGGTATTTGTTCATCTTCCCAGATTTTCTTGAAGAGTGTGTGTAGTAGTGTGGTGCTAGTTTCTTATCTGTTGTCAGTGCTTCTGGCGGTATAACATCAATTTCTGGAGCCTTCCAATTTTTCAGCTGCTTTATAGAAATATGTATCTCTTCTTTTGAAGGTGTGTTACTGTCCAAAGGGAGATCACTTTCAGCTGGTGGTATGTCTTGTGTGCACTCTGGTGTTGGTCTATTCCGTAGTTCTTCAAAATGTTCTGCCCATCTCTTCTTCTGTCCTTCCGCATCGGGTATTATCTTTCCATCTTTGGTCTTCACTGGCCTCTCTGACTTACTGAACTTCCCTGATATCTTCTTAATTGTATTGTACACGTCCCTAATATTACCATGGTACAGTGCTTCTTCCGCTTCCTTTTCCAGCAGATCTAAATAACTCCCTTAATCTTTCCTGATGCATTTCTTGACACTTTTGTTTGTTTCTGTGTATTCTACCAGTGCTTTTAACTTAGAAGCCCGTTTGCGGCTGTTGTTTTATGTTGCCTTCTTCCCTTTTCTCTCATAGTATCTGGTGAAATCCATTCTTTAGTTTCTCTTTTGACAGGGCCTAACAATTCTTCGCATGTTAATGTAAATATGTTTTTTTTCCCATGTTAGCTCTATCGTCTCTTCCTCTAGTATCGTTAACTATTACCCTATATGATCCCCATGTGTGAGAAAATCTTTAGATAATGATATGATTAAGCGTAAAGTCCGACAGACATATCGATGGTCTCGGTCGCAAACCGTCTAACTCAAAAAAATTCGATTTTCTTTTTTTTACATAAATCAAATGCCAATATGATTCCCCATAATGCCTGAAAATATTAGATAAATCTGTAGAATGATTATTGAGATATAATCATTTGAACAAACCGCCTATTATTTCTAGCGCTAAAAATCTCGGCGCAAAACGGATATCGCTATATTTGTCAGTACACTTTTGATCGGGAACGCAGTCGCACGCCGTAATCACACAATTTTACAGCACAGCAGTCACAGTACTTATAGGTAAGGATATTTGATTAATTATGTTCAACTATTCTATTACATTTTATCATTTTAAAGAATAATAAACAAATAGTATTTGTTTAATATAGCCTATTTCCAGATTTTCAATAACCAAACTGATTTGTTTACATTTTTTAGGGCTAACACAATGCTTTGAAACTAGATCTTCATTCTAGAATCTAAATATCAATCAAAACAATATAATTCGAATTATATTTCCACAAGAATGTGTAATAAATTTAATAATTGTTAATTCACTACTAGCTTTAGATTGAGGGTTTAGATACGTGTTAAGAAATGTTTATATGTTAGGTTACAAAATGTTTGGCGTACATGTTTTTAGTAGATGCTTTTATGATTAATTTTTCAACAGACAAGCCTATCTCAACACACCAGCCTCTCTCAACATACCAGCCTCTCTCAACATACCAGCCTCTCAACATATCAGCCTCTCTCAACAGACCAGCATCTCTTAACAGACCAGACTTACCACACAACAGACCAGGCTCTCTCAACAGACCAGCCTCTCTCAACAGACCATCATCTCTCAACAGACCAGCCTCTCTCAACAGACCAGACTTACCACATAACAGACCAGCCTCTCTCAACAGACCAGCCTCTCTCAACAGATCATCCTCTCTCAACAGACCATCCTCTCTCAACAGACCAGCCTCTCTCAACAGACCAGCATCTCTCAACCGACCAGACTTACCACACAACATACCAGCCTCTCTCAACAGACCAGCCTCTCTCAACAGACCATCCTCTCTCAACAGACCAGCCTCTCTCAACAGACCAGCCTCTCTCAACAGACCAGCCTCTCTCAACAGACCAGCCTCTCTCAACAGACCAGCCTCTCTCAACAGACCAGCCTCTCTCAACAGACCAGCCTCTCTCAACAGACCAGCCTCTCTCAACAGACCAGCCTCTCTCAACAGACCAGCCTCTCTCAACAGACCAGACTTACCACTTAACAGACCAGCCTCTCTCAACAGACCAGCCTCTCAACATATCAGCCTCTCTCAACAGACCAGCATCTCTTAACAGACCAGACTTACCACACAACAGACCAGGCTCTCTCAACAGACCAGTCGCTATCAACAGACCAGCCTCTCTTGACATATCAGCCTCTTTCAACAGATCAGCCTCTCTCAACAGACCAGCCTCTCAACATATCAGTCTCTCTCAAAAGACCAGCCTCTCTCAACATATCAGTCCCTCTCAACAGACCAGTCTTACCATACAAGACACCAGCATCTGTCAACTGACAAATCGTAAAGGCATCAGCATCTCTCAACAGACCAGCCTTTCAAAACAGACCAGTCGTGACATTAAGGCACCAGTAACTCACAAGAGACCAGTCTCTCTCAGCAGACCAGTCGTAATATACAAAAGAACAATCTCTCTCAACTGACCAATCTTACCCTCCAAGATACCAGCCTCTCTCAACAGACCATTCTTACCATACAAGAGATCAGCCTCTCTCAAAAGATTAGTCTTATCCCACAATAGACAAGCCTCTCTCAACACACCATTCTTACCATACAATACACCAGCCTTTCTCAACAGATCAGTCGTAACATACAATAGACCAGCCTCACATAACAGACATTAGACACCAACCTCTCTCAAAAAGTCCAGCCTTACCATACAAGAGACCAGCCGCTCTCAAAAGACCAGTCAGACCTATCAAAAATTCAAAGCGACAAATATTCGTGCACTGCAGTACAAGCCTGATGCTACTGTCTACTTCAAAGTGAATTAGCAGATAGCTGGCAATTGCTAAGCTAGGGTCGTAAGATTATGATCTCATCTGTAGCCCCTGTCAAGTTGTACTAGAGCAGAAAAAAAGATAAAAGCTGTCATATTTGAGCACTCAAAAGCAAGTCATAAACACACCTTTTTATGATGATTTCCCTGATTTTAAAAATATGTTGCCATTTTAATGTTTCTTTATGTGACGTTTATTCAAAGAATAAATTTAAAAAATAAACACATTTTTATGTGTTACATTTTTGTAAAATAAGTTAACATTAAGTCAATATTAATGTGATTAGTGTGTTATGTCCCATTCATAATATATCTGACAATACGGCAGAGGCGTAGCGACACTTCCCGGCGCCCGGGGACAAACTTTTCGATTTGCACCCCCCTCGAGATTTCGATTTGCACCCCCCCCCCCCCCCCTCAAACTTTCGATTTGCACCCCCCCCCCCCCCTCGAGATTTCCATTTGCACACCCCCCTCAAACTTTCGATTTGCACCACCCTCACCCTTTCAATTTATCTTTCCAACCCATTTTGGCGCCCCCTAAGGTTGGCGCCCGGGGACATATGTCCCCCCCCCCCCCCGCCCCCCTCGCTACGCTACTGCAATACGATTTCTGTTTTTACTATTATCTTTCTTCAAATTAATACACTCGAAAGCGATAAAGCCATACTAAAACATCTCTATTAAAAATTAAACTGACCCCATAATGTAGAATAAACTCAAATAATTAAAATATGAGCCCAAAACTATAATCTAAATATTATGAAGTATTAATTATAACTTAAAAACATAAATATAACTAAATCACGTTCATTGGACAAAACGAACGAACGCGGCTGAGACCGAAATTCTCGGCTCAAAACAGCTAAGTCTGCGCGCGCACAGATAGACGGTTTGCACCGAGAATTTTAGACCGAGCAAACCGTCTATCTTTTTAAACCTGCTATAATTTTGTAAATATCAACAAAACCCATTTTAAAACGCTACAGTATAGTCGGTAGAGAGTTTCTTCGGAGATATCGTTAAAAAAAATGTGTATTAGGGCGATCGAGAAGGAAATAATCAGTTTTTTGTCTCTCCTGTAAAATTTACATTTTCGGAGTTAGACGGTTTGCGACCGAGACCATCGATATGTTCTTCTCTTGCTTCTAATTTTGTTAACATGCAAACTTGTTCTGAAAAAGTATATATATAGAAGTCCAATATGGCTTAACTCTAATGCTTCCTTCACTAATTTCAATATATTATGCAATGATTTCTTGTTTCATATTTCTGTGTAGTATCAATGTATATCCTTGAATACTGAAATAAATCTGCATTTGCTATTTAAAAAAAAGAGTTGTAGAATTATCTGTAAATAAGACAAAAGTGTTGATGCCCATTTCTCTTTATCAAGTCTACTACATTTTATATTTGTTATTTTAACATCACCAGCATTATCAAACATTTACGTCTTTTTATATTTCTTTGAGTTTCTAATGCTTGCTTTTGAAGATGTCAAAAATATTTTATTCTTTTTTTTCAGCCACTGACTGTACGGGCAAAAACCAGTTCAAATGCTCCAACGGCCAGTGTATCCCACATAGTAAAGCATGTAATGGCCGAGTAGATTGTTACGACTCACCCGATGATGAAGACGATTCTTTATGCTTAAGTAAGTAAAGTTCTCTTTCGATGGGGCTAATAAAGTTCAGCTTTTTCAGTGACCTCGGCATATGAAGGGATAGTATGGTCAGCATTATGCCCAGCCAACTTCACTCGCTCTAACTTGTTGAACTCATTGACAGTCTACGATATTGAGCCCGAATTTAAACTACTTTCTTGTTACCAGACTGATGCTACACTGTGAGGGGGGGGGGATGTTTTAGGTGGTTTTCCGTTGCTCTACCAGTTGTGAGGGGGGATAAACAGCAACTACCCAGATGTGAGAGTGGGGGTGATGAATTGAGATGATGAAATATCCAACACACGTTCAGGTTCCAAATATAAAGTTCTCTATTAAAATGTATAATCATCTTCCTACCTAACCTAACTAATCTGTTATTTACTGTATACTGTTTACTACTGCTACTACTACTTCTATCTCTACTAACTACGCACTCCCATGACCAATCCTTACACTATCTAACTGTTCTCTACATAACTACGCCTGCTCCCTACTACAACCTAACAACTTCTGCTCTCCTCGCTAGCTGCCTATCAAATGCCGCTAATCTAACTACTGGCCCACGCCTCAGTGGTCAGCTGACTGTCCCATGTGACCGGTCAGCTCCTGTACGTCCATTGGTCTCCACCCAACTATCTATAGTCTGTTTCTCTATCTACTTGACCTAAACTAGCGTCATCACATACACATTCGACCATGCCGTCCCAACTATAGTAAGCCTTATTGTTTTGTTATAGCTAAACAGGACTATGTTTATTATTTTTTATTTTATTAATCCTTTACACCCAATGTAGCAGACAAACATATTTGGTTTTCCTATATAACGCTACACGGTTTAACAGTGAAATCTGTTATTTTCGCATTTATATTGCATAATATTGTCCTAGTTTCTGTAGAATACGTCTGACAGTTTCAACTTCTTCGTTATTAATTGTTAAGTTAAACGCGATTTCATCTTACAAAATTACATATTACATGCCAATATGGTATGTGTTAACTCCGAATTTAGTCTGCTTTTCTGTCTAGATTTTGGAGCTGTCTCTCCTATGTAGGCTGCTATTTCCAGCCAACCACTTACATTTTTCAAAAAAGCTCTGAACTTTCACGAATAAATGTCTACAATACTTGAGTTTATTCGAATGTTAAACAAACAAACCACCAGCATTTTCAAACATTTACGTCTTTTTATATTTCTTTGAGTTTCTAATGCTTGCTTTTGACGATGTAAAACATAAAGTTTTTTGTGTTGTTTTCTTGACAGCCCCTGACTGTCCGGACAAAAACCAGTTCAAATGCTTCAATGGCCAGTGTATCCCGACTTCAAATACATGTGACGGCAAACCAGATTGTAACGACGCAAGCGATGAAAACTGTTGTAAGTAAAGTTCCCTTTCGATTGGGGCTAGTAAAGTAGGTTTCAGCATTTTCAGTGACCTCGGCATATGAAGGGATAGTGTGGTCAGCATTATGCCAAGCCAACTTTACTCTCTCTAACTTGTTAAACTCATTGACATTCAACGATATTGAACTCAAATTCAATTCAAATGACTATTGGGTTTCCAAACTGGACGTTGTACCATTCGACCCTGCCGTCCCATCTATAGTAAGGCTTTTTGTTTTGTTTTGTTTTGACTAAACACGACTATATTTATTATTTTTTATGTGGTCGTAATTTTTTACAATAAATGTAACAGGCAAACATATTTAGTTTTCCTATCTAAACGTCATTATATGATTTAACAGTGAAATCTGTTATTTTCGCATTTATATTGCCTAGAATATTGTCCTAGTTTACGTAATTTAGGTCTGACAGTTTTAATTGTGAAGTTAAACGGGATTTTATCTTGCATGTCAATATTGTATGTGTTAACTCCGAATTTAGCCTGCTTTTCTTTCTAGATGTTCTTCCTGTGTCCATCTAATAACAAAGGATAAGGGTGCAGATATCAGATTTTGGATTTGAAGCTGTCTCTCCTATGTAGGCTGCTGTTTCCAGCCAACCATTTACATCTTTCAAAAAAGCTCTGAACTTTACCGAATAAATGTCTACAATGCTTAAGTTTATTCGGATATAAAACAAACAAACATTTAATGATATAATCATTTAAAAAGCAAAGAGTTTTTTTTTAAATTCCACAACTTGATCAAGTACTTACATTTGTACTTGCATACATTGATTGTGCTTCTGCTTAAATTATATCGAAAGTTTGAATTTACGTTTTTAGAAGTATCTATAATATAAGCGGGCTGTGTCTGTCCGTCATCGCTATAGAATTTGGAACCATAAAAGTAAACTATGCACCATGCAGTGCTTTTGAGTGCACCGCAGTGTCTTATTATAAGTAATAGAGTAGGGTTTGTTTATATAACGACATAGAGCTATTTTATAATTTCCACTGTTTGTACAATTTTGCATAACGTAAAGAGAATATTAAATACATGCACATTGCTAAAACATATTAAAAGGATCAATGTCAAATATCGTTTTCGTTAATATTCCTAGAGAAAGTGGATACATTTTAATAACATAATAGCTGTAGGTTAGAAAAATCTAATTAAACTGTTTAGTAATTTTGCCAAGGGAGGTATTTCTAATATATAAAGCTCAGTTCTGTATGTAATGCATTTGTATGTCGTTGGAATTGTACGATTTTAAGTGTTAGAAAAATTATCGTGCGCATTTGTCTAAATTTATGAGCTAAAAAATTACCATTGAAAGTGTTGGGAAATAATTTTCATTTTTCAAATTACAGTAATAATTGTCGGCATGTTCATTAAACACAAGTTTTAAAAAAAATATCATCTTTTACAAAAATTCTAATTATGTCTTTATTTAGTCCTATAGCACTTACTTCCCTTTGATAAATTAGGAAAAACACAATTACTTCCCTTTATAAAAAACCATTGCATTCCGTGAAAATAATTTACTTTTTAATTACTTTGTTTTGGTGTTGGGAAAAAAAATAATTACATAATTAGCGGGGATTGATCAAGTGCAAATGTTGTAGGTATTTTACGGATAAGCTTGGAGTATTAAAATTGTTTATTAAATTGAAACAGGCGCGTTCGTTTAAGTGAGTGCAAAAGACTGTGAATAAGTTGGGGTACTATAGTCGTTCATTAAGCTAAAACAGGTGATTCCGCCCCGGGCGTTTATGTTCGCGTTAGTGTTTTCTTTGTGTTTAGGTGGGTTTGCGTTAGTGGTTGCGTTTTAATTTGGTTCGTTTTTGTTCTTTCTTTTTTCGTTTTTGTTTGTGTTTTTTTTGTTTGGGTTTGTATTTGTGTTTTTGGTTGGTTTTGCGTTTGAATTTGGTTTGTTTTCGTTTGCTTTTTCGTTGTTTTTTTGTTGTTGGTATTGGTGTTTGTGGTTGGGTTTGTTGTTAGGTTTTTGTTTTCGTTTGCTTTTTTGTTTGTTTTTTCTTTGTGTTTGTATTGGTGTTTGTGGTTGTGGTTGGGTTTGTTGTTAGGTTTTTGTTTTCGTTTGTATTTGTAATTGTGTTAGCGTTATGTTTGCGTTTTGTTGTTTTGGTTTTGGTTGGTTGTGGTTTGGGTGGGCAATGCCGGGTTTATGATGATTACTAAACACACAGGTAATGGTCTTTAACAGGAAGGTTTTTCACAGAAGCCAGAGCAGGGCCTGGCCGGGACGGCTAGTTAAAAATAAATTGAACTTACGCTAAAAATGTGAATGCAAAATCTGCAAGACGGAATAATTGTTGGAATAATATAATTAGCAAAATGTGAATGCAAATTATGCAGACGTGTAAGAGTACATTATTGTTGGAATATTATAATTAGCATTGATTGATAAAAGGCTATTTTTTATTTATTTTATTCACTGAATGTAATGTTTACTACTTATAATTTTTAATCAACTATTAAGCACTATTATAGACGCGTCATCACGTTCATTCGGTGCGCAATGGTTTAAGTTATGAAACTCTATTGTAAATTTTTAAAATTTAAATTACTGGGAAAAATGCGTGAATGGATAAAGTGAAATATTGTAGGTAAAACACGGATATTTTAAATACTGCCTATTATTTATACTGTTTACTAATTATTATTCTATCTTTCGGTTTGCGGACAAGCTAGGGGTTTTATAGGAGAGGCGTAGCGAGGGGGGGGGGGGGGCATATGTCCCCGGGTGCCAACCTTAGGGCGCCAAAGTGGGTTGGAAAAAATTTGCGAGGGGAGGGGTGGAAATCGAAAGTTTTAGGGTGGGGGGGGGGGACAGGGGTGCAAATCGAAAGTTTGAGGGGGGTGCAAATCACCGGAAAGGGCGCGATTTGGCGCTACGGCCTAGACTGTGAGCAATATGCCTTTATGATTGCATTTAAATTGTGTTTATGTTATGAGTGTTGTGTTTGTTTTTTCGTTTGTGTTTTTTTTTTTGCGTTCGTTTGTAATGTGTTTAGTTTTGTCCTGTTCCCAAGTTGGTACATTTAAAAAAGATTTACCGTGGCGGAGCACGGGATGCAGCTAGTTAACTATGTTCTTACAAAAACGCTTTCACACTTTTAGACAGAACAAATATTATCTTTTACAACTCTGATTTTAATTTAGTTCTTTTTTATTTTCAGCTGTTTTGGGATGATGGTGATAATGATGATAGAGAGGTCGAGGATAGTGGTGAAAAATGATGATGAAGGGGTATAGGATGATGGTGATTATGATGATGAAGAGTTGGAGGATGATAATATTGTTAATGATTAATTTTTATAATGTTAACTATAATTTTGGTGATAATGAAGGTTTTTAAGAGGCATAAGAGACTACACACTAAGTGTATGATAGACCTTTCTCATTATTACCAGAATAAAAAGAGTAATTTCTTTTGAAAAATATGTTGCTGTCTGATAAATAAAATTTTGTTTCAATAATGTTTTTTTTTTGTTGTTTTTTTTAACTTTTAGTCTTTAAAAAAAAACGTTTGATATAATTTTATTAGAAAGTGAAAACATTCAATTAAAAAGCAGCAAACATGATTGCAAGACAATCTAATTAATCGGAATGAGAATCTTGGTTATCAAGCTCACTCGATAAAATATCAAGGATTTTTTAAAATTCCACCAAATATCAAAACTAATAGCAGATGGAGCGAGACTCCTCACTCCACTGACATTTAATTCGTTCTAAATTGTTATTTCTGAAGGCATTTCCTCTAACGCAATAAGTTTATGTGTCACCATGGCTTGTTGGCTCCGATTTTAGCGTCTTTTCTGTCTACAGCCTTTGAAACTACAATAACAAACTAATGAGTTAACATGGCGTTTTTGTCTCCCATGTGAAATGCCGTCCCCTAATTATCCCTTCCCCACCCCCAAACCCCACCCACTGACACTGAAAAGAAGTCTTAAAATCTAATCATTACTGGAGAGCTGCGGCAATTACTAATGAGTGTGACCGATTGTAGCTCTCGAAAGGATTTAGTGCTATGGGTGACATCACGTAAGCTGATGGTGTCACCGTGTGGGGTAGCTGATGGTGTCATTAGTGGGGTAGCTGATGGTGTCATTAGTGGGGTAGCTGATGGTGTCACCAGGTGGGATAGCTGATGGTGTCACTGGTGGTGTAGCTGATGGTGTCAGTAGTGGGGTAGCTGATAGTGTCACTGATGGGGTAGCTGATGGTGTCACTAGTGGGGTAGCTGATAGTGTCACTGGTGGGGTAGCTGATGGTGTCACTAGTGGGGTAGCTGATGGTGTCACTGGTGGGGTAGCTGATGGTGTCACTGGTTGAGTTGGCTGATGGTGTCACTAGTGGGGTAGCTGATGGTGTCACTAGTGGGGTAGCTGATGGTGTCACTGGTGGGGTAGCTGATGGTGTCAATGGTGGGTTAGCTGATGGAGTCACTGGTGGGGTAGCTGATGGTGTCACCAGGTGGGGTAGCTGTGGGTGTCACTAGTGGTATAGCTGATGGTGTCACCAGTGGGGTAGCTGATGGTGTCATTAGTGGGTTAGCTGATGGTGTCACTAGTGGGGTAGCTGATGGTGCCACTAGTGTGGTAGCTGATGGTGTCATTAGTGGGGTAGCTGAGGGTGTCACAAGTGGGGTGCCTGATGGTGTCACTGGTGGGGTAGCTGATGGTGTCATTAGTGGGGTAGCTGATGGTGTCAATGGTGGGTTAGCTGATGGAGTCACTAGTGGGGTAGCTGATGGTGTCACTGGTGGAGTAGCTGATGGTGTCACCAGTGGGGTAGCTGATGGTGTCACTAGTGGGTTAGCTGATGGTGTCACTGGTGGGGTAGCTGATAGTGTCACTGGTTGAGTTGGCTGATGGTGTCACTAGTGGGGTAGCTGATGGTGTCACTAGTGGGGTAGCTGATGGTGCCACTAGTGTGGTAGCTGATGGTGTCATTAGTGGGGTAGCTGAGGGTGTCACAAGTGGGGTGCCTGATGGTGTCACTGGTGGGGTAGCTGATGGTGTCACTAGTGGGGTAGCTGATGGTGTCACTAGTGGGGTAGCTGATGGTGCCACTAGTGTGGTAGCTGATGGTGTCATTAGTGGGGTAGCTGAGGGTGTCACAAGTGGGGTGCCTGATGGTGTCACTGGTGGGGTAGCTGATGGTGTCATTAGTGGGGTAGCTGATGGTGTCAATGGTGGGTTAGCTGATGGAGTCACTAGTGGGGTAGCTGATGGTGTCACTGGTGGAGTAGCTGATGGTGTCACCAGTGGGGTAGCTGATGGTGTCACTAGTGGGTTAGCTGATGGTGTCACTGGTGGGGTAGCTGATAGTGTCACTGGTTGAGTTGGCTGATGGTGTCACTAGTGGGGTAGCTGATGGTGTCACTAGTGGGGTAGCTGATGGTGCCACTAGTGTGGTAGCTGATGGTGTCATTAGTGGGGTAGCTGAGGGTGTCACAAGTGGGGTGCCTGATGGTGTCACTGGTGGGGTAGCTGATGGTGTCACTGGTGGGATAGCTGATGGTGTCACCGGTTGAGTTGGCTGATGGTGTCACCGGTTGAGTTGGCTGATGATGTCACCGGTTGGGGTAGCTGATGGTGTCACTGGTGGTTGAGCTGTATCGGTGGGATTTTTAAGGGTGTCACTGGGTGAGTTGTTTAGGGTGTTACCGTGTGGGGTAGCTGAGGGTGTCGCTAGTGGTGTAGCTGAGGGTGTCGCTAGTGGGGTGCCTGATGGCGTCACTGGTGGTGTAGCTGAGGGTGTCATTAGCGGGGTTAGCTGATGGTGTCACTGGTGGGGTAGCTGATGGTGTCACTGGTTGAGTTGGCTGATGGTGTCACTAGTGGGGTAGCTGATGGTGTCACTAGTGGGGTAGCTGATGGTGCCACTAGTGTGGTAGCTGATGGTGTCATTAGTGGGGTAGCTGAGGGTGTCACAAGTGGGGTGCCTGATGGTGTCACTGGTGGGGTAGCTGATGGTGTCATTAGTGGGGTAGCTGATGGTGTCAATGGTGGGGTAGCTGATGGTGTCACTGGTGGAGTAGCTGATGGTGTCACCAGGTGGGGTAGCTGTGGGTGTCACTAGTGGTATAGCTGATGGTGTCACCAGTGGGGTAGCTGATGGTGTCACTAGTGGGTTAGCTGATGGTGTCACTGGTGGGGTAGCTGATAGTGTCACTGGTTGAGTTGGCTGATGGTGTCACTAGTGGGGTAGCTGATGGTGTCACTAGTGGGGTAGCTGATGGTGCCACTAGTGTGGTAGCTGATGGTGTCATTAGTGGGGTAGCTGAGGGTGTCACAAGTGGGGTGCCTGATGGTGTCACTGGTGGGGTAGCTGATGGTGTCACTGGTGGGATAGCTGATGGTGTCACCGGTTGAGTTGGCTGATGGTGTCACCGGTTGAGTTGGCTGATGATGTCACCGGTTGGGGTAGCTGATGGTGTCACTGGTGGTTGAGCTGTATCGGTGGGATTTTTAAGGGTGTCACTGGGTGAGTTGTTTAGGGTGTTACCGTGTGGGGTAGCTGAGGGTGTCGCTAGTGGTGTAGCTGAGGGTGTCGCTAGTGGGGTGCCTGATGGCGTCACTGGTGGTGTAGCTGAGGGTGTCATTAGCGGGGTAGCTGATGGTGTCACTAGCGGGGTAGCTGATGGTGTCACTAGTGGGTTAGCTGATGGTGTCACTAGTGGGGTAGCTGATGGTGTCACTAGTGGGGTAGCTGATGGTGTCACTGGTGGGGTAGTTGTATCGGTTGGGTAGTTAAGGGTGTAACCGGGTGGGTTAGTTACGGGTGTCACCCAGCCTCCAAAGATGTCGCTTCAGAGAAGAGGTTGTAATACATGTTGAAATACTTCTGATCAGGGATAGATGGATACATTTATTTCTGCTGAAACACAACACTTTCCTTATAGTGATATAGGAGACTGCTATTTTAATGCTTAACTTTCTTTTCAGCGATTTCATGTCAGAATTTTAATCACTTTTTCAGTATAAATGATATCTCTAGGGTACATTTTCTCGAGTTAAGGACAGTAACAAATCTCTTAATGTGCTATGATAAACGAATAGTTTTTAAAAATGGCTTTAATATATAAAGCGTTTTCAAAGGGCTTTCAAAAGGGTTATATTAAATTAATAGTTTTAAAAGGGCGTTTGATTAATGACATGTTTTAAAAAAAGGGTTATTATAAATTAATTGTTTAAGTAATACAATTGCAAGCTATAAGAATTAATAACTTTGTTATAATATTCGAAGTACAATGTATGCAGCTGCAAAACTAGAGAAACTGATTTCCTATCATTTTGAGACTTAAGTTAATCTAAATCTTGAAATTGTTACCGACATTAATGCCTAACCCCAACCCTAAAAATCACTTAAATTATCCACCAAATACATTTTCCAATTCTAAATTTCTAAGTAGATCCAAGATCTATAGTCTTTCCTGTAGCAAAATTGAAAATTATCCCAATGAAAAAAATCCAATTTAAATACCGATTTTTAAAACGAAACAAACATAACTTGTACATTTTATCTACATAACATTAAACCTATCCATTACGTCACCGTGGCCTATTTTATGAATGGTTATTGATTTCACTGAATGCATTATAGATTTTGAGGTTTATCAAAGACAAAATTCTATCTAATTGGATGAATGAACAGGACGTGGTCGGGAGGGAGAGCGCATGGTTGTTAACCCGAAAAGTTCGAATCTAAGATACTAAATAATTCAGAAAACAACCATTTAAAAATATTACCTGAGCTTGAAGCTATTCATCTAAATACGGCAAACGAGTAAATACATTATTTTCAACCCAAAAATAATCACCGAATTGGGATAATACACACAAAAAAACAGTATTATAATGTTAAATATTTATTCGTTTCTAGCAGATGATACCAGAATATTATCTCAATTCTTTATTGTAATGTGTGTATGAACTAAAATAGAAAATGAAGCAAGCAAAAGTAGCTGTAAATGCTGGATATATAATCCAAATTACAAATATAACATAAACATTACTCCCCATATTTGCAGGTCTTATTTTTTTATATTAAGACCAAATTATGATTTATTTGAAACAAATGCATTTTTTTTAAAACTCATGTACGTATAATGATTAAACACAACAATATTTTTAAAATGTTGTTTGTATAAATTTCCTGTTTTATCGCAATAATTTTTACACATTAAATCACAATGCCAATAGAGTGTCACCATAGAGTAATAAGTTTAACATTGTCCAATTACAAAATCGTAATTCCATTTCTAGTAATTCAGTGCAAATTGAAACTATAACCTTTAAACAATAAAAGCTTAGTAAACACGTTTAAAGTTATCTTTATTCCTTAACGAAGTAAATGTATGTATAATATTACGATAACATTATTTCTGTTGATTGATATGCACAAAACTAACAAAAGAAGAAATGCTGCTTAATGTTGAACACCCAATAAAAAGTATTTCATCAAATACAAAAAAAACATCATTTAAATGTAGTAATGACTACGTAACATTAAATCTCTAACACTGTTATATATCTATCGAACAATATATAATTGGTATCTCTTATTTAAAGTTTGAAGTTAATGTGAAATTAATTGCTGTTGTCTTAATATAATGCTTTCAAGCTAATCGGTGTACAAAAAATACTATATAAGTAGTATTTACAGTCGGGAATGCAACTTAATTACGACAATTAGGGATGCTACCATCATTAAGTGGATACATGAACGTTAATAACTACTTTTGTCGAGCACCGCAAACAATAATTTAAGAAATGAAAATCGTTCAAATTTTGTTTAAATTAACTAGAGTAATTATTGTAAATACTAATCAATATCCACTTGATTAGAGAACTATTTAGTGTTAGACAGTTTCTTCCTTAAAGCTTAAATTGTGGACTACACTTTTCATATGTAGTTGTATTGTATATGGACTGAAGTATTTGTATGTGAAACTTGTACTAAAGTTTATTTATAGTTAACCAGTGCGTGAATTTGCCTGTTTCATGTTTAAAGACAATCAGCTTTAAAATCAGCCAAAACGAGATTAATGGACTATGTAGAGTGATACATGGTATTTCACTGTTTTAAAAAAAGAAAACCCACAATCAAGAAGTTTATTGATTCCACCTTGCAAAGAAAATATAATGCTATACTATTCTTTAGCTTAGGAACAATATTCGGATAGCTTCCCTTTGAAAGGGGAAACAACAAATGAAATATAGACCAGACTATTTCCAACATTATTCTCCACCTTTTCGGATGTAATCAGAGCTTTAATTTAAAGTTACCTAGTAACTTTTCTTTGTAAATATTCTGGGATGCCGCCTTTTAAACATATCGTTCAAACACGAAATATTTTTCAACTTTGTAAATTGTCCAATATTTTGGTAAATTTCAACTTTAAATTTCGTGTAGTCAATGTTTTCAATGTTGAACCAGGAAATGTTGATTGTCATCCTTACTGGTTTTGAGAGTAAACTGTCAACAGATTTTCCTATGCCCTTTGGTAAAATTATTTTCTAATTAAGAAAACAACTTATTATTGATTATTTAACCAGATGTTTATGATTCAATAAATGTTTCCATCTTAGGTAAATAGTGAAAATGACTCTTGATAACGTCACTAATCCTAAAAACATTATCTATACTATAACGACAACTCAAATCTTTGTAAACATGGGCGGTCATGTTGACCCCGTTGCCACGGCAACCATGGACATATTCATCTTCGTCAACGCAATACTTCTGTGCGCCGTTCTCACCGTTACGGGTGTTGTGGCAAACGTCATCAATTTGTGTGTATTCTGGAAGCACGGTTTAAACAACTCGATGAACATAAGTTTCTTCGCCCTGTCAATCTCCAGCCTGCTCAGCCAGATTTTTATGCTGTGGAGGATCGTGTGTATCAGCCCTAATACCGACAGGTCCGGCTACTCTATCGTATTTAACGAAATCAAATTGTTGACCGCGGGCTGGCCTAACGCCTGTTTCACACGAATCGTGAGTTGGATAACGGTCTATATTACCATTGAGAGGTGTTTTTCTATAACTATACCTTTAAAGGTAAAACTTGTTTTTACAAGCAGAAGATCTCTTGTTATTTTAGTAGCTATTTTTGTATTAAATATCTTAGCCCTAAGCCCGGATTATTTTATATTTTATTTTGATTGGAAGTTTTATTCCTCACTCAACAAAACATTAATTGGGATTGTGTACAGGAAAAATCGCCCACCTATTGAAGGTTTGACATCGGGGTTAAACGCAATTCTAGCGATCACGGCTTTTTTTACAATGATCATTTTCACAACAATCTTAATCGAAGTCCTGAAACGGAAATCAAAATGGCGCAGTAAAACAACAGACAAGGCTCAAACAGATACATTGTCAACGCGACAAAAGAAAACAGTTGCGATGGTCATCGTCTTCGCTTCCGTCATGATCATCTGCTACGCAATAACCGCCTTTGGAACATTCGTTTCGTTTTTCATCCCGGAATTCAGCGCCACGGGCAAGTTGATGAACTCGTATCAAACCGTCGCGTCTTTTGCTTTCTTATCTCATTCCATCAACGCCAACATCAACGTCGTACTCTTCTATAGGATGAGCTCCAAGTACAAAACCGAGTTCAATCAGCTTTTTATTTGGTCGAAAGCTGCAAGTAAAACTACAACTGATTCATACAAACGCAATGCTCTGGATCGTGGTGGGATATTGAATTAAACAAATAGCCTGATGTATCCGATGCATCATCCACTGGTACGCTGATGTCGGACGATCTGAACATAACAGAAAACAAATGTTGTGTATCACTATTGTTTATGTTTTAAAATTACCTAATGATTATATTATTTTTTATTTTACAAAATGATTACTTTCAATTTTTATTTTACATAATGAATATTTTCAGCTTTTATTTTTCCCAATGATTATTTTCATTTTTACTTTATCGTATATACAGAGTATAGAGAAAGTATTGTAATCGTGCAAAAAAAATAGAGATTTTTACAAATCTCGACGTTTTACACTTGCCTGAGTCAGAAAAACAATCTTGTCTGTATGTCTGTGTATGTGTGTGTGTGTATGTATGTGTGTCTGTAAACACGATAACTTGAGTGCCGTTACAGCTAGGTTGGTAAAATTTCATATATAAGTATTATTTCAAAGTTGTAGATCCGTATCAACTTTTCAGCGATTTCCGATAATCGGAAGTGGAACTTTTTCTACTTTTTAAAAGCCTGTAACTTGAGTACTATTTCAGATAGATAAATGAAATTTTACAAATAAATAAAATATATAACTCTCTGCCTTCTATCAAATTTTGAGTAATTTCCATTGACCGGAAGTAGTAATTTACGCTATTTCCGATTTCTCAAAAAACACATGAGAATGTATAAAGTACTAATAATATTCCGCACTATTATGCCCATTTTGTTTGGCGTTAACTTGGTGTGCAATTCTTTTTTCTACGAGATTCTACTCTATTATAAAAAGTTTAAGTAATTAAAAATTGATTTAAATATAGTGTCTATATCCCGATATGCCATCCCCCGTAGTGTTATATAAGAATATTCGAGAAAGTTTAGGGGAGATCACTCCCGGTTTATTTTATTTTATGTAATGATCAGTTTCTCTTTATAAATGTGACGATTAATTTCAATATAAATGTGATTTACGCTTTGCTAGCTGAAATATAAATTGCTCTTTGTTACAAATTATTGCTTAGCAAAAAAGTAATCCGACGTTTTTCCGTTTCTTAAGTAATATTTCATCTAATTCAGCAACCATCATTTAAATGTAGTGTTACATTAGAATTTATACTATGCTACATGTTTGTTCTTTATTGTGGCTGTTTTACTTATTAAATAAATATGAACACTTAAAATCAGCTCTACGAAAAAAAAAAAAAAAATAAATAAAAATCAGCTCTAGCAAAACATAAATTCTTGCCCAGGATGTTCTCAGTTGTGCAGGAATTTACCTACCCAGGCTCAACCATCGCCGGCAGCCACTTATTTGACAAACATAGATCAAGGAGAGTTAACTAGGAGACTGTTGCAATGGCTAAACTCTCCAAGCGCGTGTGAGAGAGTAGAAAGCTGACCAAGAACACCATGCCGATGTGTAATGCCTGGTGAGTACTCTTCTCTATAGTAGCAAGTGTTGGACAACGTAAGCATACCAGAAACGTAAATTTAATACTTGTTATTTGCGCTTCTTACGACCGATTCTGGGTGTCATATGGGATGACTGTGTCTAAAGACAACTTGAAGCAAGCCAACTCAATTAGTGCTCAGGGGATGTTAACCCAGAGAAGACTGCGTTGGCTGGGTCAAGTCTGCCGAAAACCAAAAGACTTCCTCTCTGGGGATCTTACCATAGTTGAAGACCCAAAGAATGCCCGGTGCTAAATTACAGAAGTGTCTGTTAACGAGACCTGGGGTAAACAGACGTAGACCATAGGTAAACAGACGTAGACCTAAGGTAAACAGACGTAGACATGAGTTAAACAGAAGTAGACCTGGGGTAAACAGAAGTAGACCTGAAGTAAACAGACGTAGACCATAGGTAAACAGACGTAGACCTAAGGTAAACAGACGTAGACATGAGGTAAACAGAAGTAGACCTGAGGTAAACAGACGTAGACCTGAGGTAAACAGACGTAGACCATAGGTAAACAGACGTAGACCTGAGGTAAACAGACGTAGACCATAGGTAAACAGACGTAGACCTGAGGTAAACAGACGTAGACATGAGGTAAACAGAAGTAGA